AATGGTTGGATAGACGGATTCCTTAGCTACAAGTAAAAAAAAGCGAAACCCGATTTCGAGTTCAGACGAATCCAAACGGGGTCGAAACGTAAAGTCCAGCAAACTACCGACCCTTTGAAGGTTGGAAGACTCTAGAGGATTGTACTCTAGGAAAAAGTTGAATTTGAAAGCATAATTGCGTAGAAGGCTTCGTTAGCGACGCATATCAAAAAACGAAAATCAATTCCGAGTTCGGAAGAGCTCAAACGAGCCTAAAACATGAAGCCGCGCACTGCAGTCGCGAGGGGATCCGCGAGCCGTGAAGGATTTTTCTGCACTCAAAAGTTGCGGCCGCGGGGCAAGTCGCGGCCGCGGAGGCTGAAATTCGCAGAAAAAAAATAATTTCTCATTTTGGTCGTTAGTGGGGGTGAAGTGGTCGGTTTTTTAGGCTTGTTTTGCGGAACACACACCTGAAAAATGGGATTAAAGACTATAAGAACATCCTCTTTTCACCACTTTCTTCTTCATATTTTCTCTCTTAAGTTTTTCTTTTGGTTTTCATATTGTAAGAAGGAACACTTTGGAGACTTGTTACAACTTGGATTTGGATTGTATTTTGTTCTTGACATTGGAATTCACATTAATAGTAAGTTTTATTTTCCATTGTATTTATGTTGATTATCGCTATGTTAAATGTGAATGTTGATGTTGAGATTGAAATGAGTAGCTAATTCCTTAGTTAGGGTTAAGGGATAATCATCCCGGTTTGTTCTCGTTTATGTGCATGACGATAGCTCAATCTTGACGAGTTGTTTTAATCATGAATTGATAAAATTGATAGGGCGAAAAATGTGCGCGTTTTATATGTTTAGTAGTGTATTTTTCTATGCTTAATTTTATCGCACGTTTGTATTTTTCGACCTATTTATTATTTAGATGGATTTATCTGCTATGACATTTTATGTGTTATTTTCAGTATTTCAGAGCAATTTGTGTACGCAAAGCCGTTGACGGAAGTTCACGCGATCAATTATCACGGGATCAATTATCAAGGCCCATTACCTTAAGATAATCCAAGCAACTCCACGGCTAAGGCCCATTAACCACACGCGGCCCAAGGGTGGAACAAGTGATGAGTAATTAATTCCTATGGATTTCAAAACAAACACGCAGCAACTGGGGGCTAGGAATTTTACTTGCCTAAGGACTTGGGACTTATTTCTGGGCCACACATTATTTACGAAAAGAAAAGAAAAGAAAAAGCCATTAGCACGCAGCGGAAAAAAGACACACAGAGAGCATCACACGGACAGATACCCACACATCGGGAAAGAGGCTACACACGCGGAGGGAAGCCGCACTCGCACACGAGGGAGATACTTGTCTTCTCTCTTTTATCTTTTATCTTATTTTTATTTTTATTAGTATGTTAGGTTAAGATTTTTATCCAGTTTAAGGGGATGTTTGAACCCTAATTTCGATTTGTCTATGAATTGAATGATCTATTTCTTATCGTTGATTAATCGAGACACCGTATTTATTTTGTCGATGAGTTGATTCATGTTATCTGTGTATCGTGTTCATGAATTATGGTGTTTGATTTGGTTTGGCCAACTACGTAAAATATTCATAGTTTAATTGCTAGATTCGAGGCTTTAATCCGTAATTGTTATTGTCTCGTTTCGTTAGTAGTAAACTAGGGGTCGTGCATCCTTAGGGTAGCGTGAGTATAAGTTAAATGGTCCGAGCTTTTGCGTCCATTACTTAGACTGGTCTATTTTTCTAGAAACTAATGCTGTTAGTGCACTAAATCTAGAGAGCTTATTCTAGGTTGTCCACTAGTTAGGTTTAGTCGAAGAGCTTATTTCGATTAAATATTCGGTAAGGGAAAATTCGGTTAACAGAGCTTGTTGTTAGCTAGGGTCGGTAATTCATTAGCAATTTAAAGAAGGTGTGGAAATTAATTAAACGGTAGATTTAGATTGGGTGATAACTGAACCGAAAACTGGACTTCTCTTATTTTATTTTATTTTTATTTATTTTATTATTTTTATTTTTAGTTTTATAAAACCAATCCCCCCATCTTTTATTGCTTTCCTAGTTTAATTCAATTAATACGAGATTGTCACAATTTAATTCCTACTCCTCGTGGGATCGACCCTTACTCGCCACTACTATTAGTTAGTAGAGGTTAGTTGAGGAAAATTATAAATTTAAATTTGCCGTGTTGTGACGCGCGGTCAAAAATCATACTTGATAATTTTTTATAACATAAGAGTGACACTTAGGTTAATTTGTTGATATAATCGAAGAGTGACACTTCGATTTGTGATTGAATATTGATTTATTGAGTTAGAGTTTGTTAATTCTACGAATTGTGACTTTTAGAACCGAAAGGGGAGGAGTCGTAGAGATAATCGATTTCAAAACTGAGAGGAGAGTAATTGGTGCAATTTGGCTCGTTTAGAGTAGACATGTTCGGAGACGTATTGTCTATGTGTTAATTGTTTCGTTAATTTGCTCTTTTATGTTTATCCTCATATTACGAGAGTTAGTGAGGTTAAACCGCAAAATGAGTTAGTTAGTCGAACCATTTAATCGAGTTATTGATTGACGTTAAATGTGTGTAGAACCAGAAGCGATTATTTCCGATACCCTAGCTCGTCTATCTTTTTATCGTTTATATTCTTAGGTAGATTATCGTCTTATGTTATTTCTTAGTTGATAATTTTTCAACCCTATCGTGATTAGAATGTGTAGAATTTATTTTACTTTTATGTGTTATCGATATCAATACTGAATTCCGAACCGCCTTCCTCGAGAGATCGACCCGGGAAACGAAACATTCGATTCGGTGCTCGGTAAAATAAAAATAATTTACTACAACAGCAGTCTCTAAGCTCGAATCCCCGAAGCCGTCACCCTTGTACCGCAGCTCGTGACGACAGTGGACGGCGTCATCCGCGGCCTCCCGTCGCATGTTGCGAAAGCCGTAGCCGGTGAAGCCCTCGGCTCCCTGGCGTGCCTGTCGGTCGCTGATTGATCGTGACTGGTCACTGATACCAACTGATGTAACGCAGCGAGAATAATGAGAAGAGGTTTATCTCTCAACTATGTAAATTATGATTCAACTTCAACTGTCTCAAAACAAAGAAGAAGAATCTTTAAATAAGACTCCTAAAAAATTTTAAGACTTATAAAAAACCTAGATTCCTAGTTTGTCCAACAAAACAAGGATTTTGAATAATAATAATAAAATAAATAAGTTTCCTAGCCTAGAATACCACCAATAATTATAATAATAAAAAAAAAAACAAATAATTAAACTAAAAATTTTAAAGATCCTTTATCTCCATCAATTTGTCTAGGAAAATTGTCCAAAAGTGAACAAAATTATTCTAAACACATCACAAGAAATAAATACTACAAATTATTAATTCAAACCCATGTCACCTAGAAAAATACTGTATTTTAATTCCCATTAGTTTGTATTTTAAAACTCAAAAAATGTCTCATTTTTATTCAATAGTTTCCGGGTCAAATTATTCTACCAAACCCATGACATCACAAAAGCTACACAATTTATGCTAGAAAGTTATGGGTCAAGAAAATAACAAACTAAATCAAACCTTTTCAGGTACACCTAATATTTTTCAACTTCTGCTGGAAAAATCAATTCTAATTTCATCATCATCATCATCCTAAAATAGTTAAATTCAGCAACTACATCATCAGAAATATCTTGAACCAGAGAGAATGGGAGACAAAAGGCCCTAGTTGGGAAAAATGAAGATATTTTAATGTGGATATGCCAAGTGGGGATTTTATAGAGGTGACATATAATAGCTTGTACTATTATCAAATTATCAAAGGAAAAAGTACAAACGTGTCTTGTTTTTAGGCCCAAAAAATATTATTTCTATGTGGCCACTTCATCACGTGACCCAATCAATCCTTAGAACCCGAGGCTAGGAGGCTGGAGCAAAATATCATATCCCATATTTATTAATTCAAACTATGTTGAATTTAAGTGGGTTTTGAAATTTTATATGTCACAATATCATGTTTTGGATAAAAAATTTAGAAACAAAATTGGCTTTGAAAGTGCCATAAATAATTTTTGCACCATACATTATTGTATTCCATAAATCTCTCTTTTATTACCAAATTTGTCTTGAATTTAAGATCGTTATTTCCTTATTTCTTTTTACTAAGGATTTACCATTCATCATAATTTTTTTTAAATTGATAAATTTTAGCTCCTTTTTTTAGTCTGTGTCTTGCGTAATGAATAATGATGAACTAAAATTATATATTATAATTACATTGATAATATAATTAACGAAATTTTAACTAAACACGTCCCTTGTCTAAAATTTCAGCAGTTTTATCCCTTACCTTATTTTTTCAAGTTGATATATTTTAGTCTATTCATCATATTTTTGTATTTTTTTAAGTTGATAAATTTTAAGTTAGAACTAATAATGTTGTATATAATGGAATTTTTGAGAATTTGAAATAAGATACTAATGTATAATAGTTTTTGTTTTATGAAACTTTCGTTTACTTATTCTATATATAAATAAAATAACTACATTATTTTATTTTTTTGTTCAAATGTATTTTTCATGCACCCGTGTAGTACACGGGTGTTATACTAGTTATTGATTATTTGAAAACTAAATGAGTTTGTTTAAAACAAAATTGTTAGACTATACATGTTATGTATAAACCCTTTCTATGCTTTAAAAGATCAAGAGTTTGTTGTTCGATGAAATTTACCAGTAACATATTCATAATTAACTGAATCAAAAAATAAATCAAATAACAAAGGATCATATTTGAGAACAAAAAATTGAAACATCACAAAAACATAAAACAAGAACTTCACCTCAACAACATAATCAAACAAAACCATTTCATAGATATATTATACAATCTCCATTCGTAAGCGGCAGATGGCCTTCTAGCACGATCCGCTGAGATTCAGTCATTTTTTCGCTTCNTCATTACCTGGAAAATTACATATAACCCGACCCCGGCAGGTACGCCGGAGGGTATTCCGGCCACTGCCCTTCCCCTCCCAGCATACCCATTTGCTCCGGCTGCAGCCCCTCCCCAAAATTACCAAACTGCCCCTCGACGCCGCCTCCTGCCGCCGCCGGCGCCGCCACGACGGGTGCCTCCGGCTGGGGGCGTTGGCCGCCGCCGGCGGCGGCCCGCCGGTTGGCCCTGCGGGTGGTGCCGCCAACCGGGACATTGCGGAGGGTGCCGCCCCTTGTCCAGTACCTCCGGCAAGCCCTGCAATAATGGCGCGGCTGAGAAAGGTTATAATTGTTGTAATAGCAAAACTTTGTGTCCGCCGAGTCGCAACGCGGGCACCTCAGATGCTCCTCCTCCGGCAGCTGCACATACCCATTGATCTGAGAATACAAAGCCTGGTTTTGCATTCTTCTTTTTCTTTTTTTTTTCTTTTTTTTTCTTATCAAGATTGGATTTTTACTGAGCTTTTTGCGAAAAAGATTGGATTTTTAGCCTTTGGGAAGCTTGGAAATTGAATGGTTTTGTGTTTTTATGGAGAAGGAAAGATGGGTTGTTTGAGAATGCAATAGGGAGAGGCTATTTATAAAGGGATGGATATAGTTTTAAATTAGGAAATTAATAAAAAAAAGGGCAAGTGTAAGAACAAAGAAGAGAGATGTCATAAATGATGTTACTGTGAAAGTGAGGACGTGTTTGTTAAAGAATATAAAAAAAAGGGCAAGTGTAAGAACAAAGAAGAGAGATGTAATAAATGATCTTACTGTGAAAGTGAGATGTGTTTGTTAAAAAATATACTCGTACAAAATTAATTCTATTCAAAATTTAACTTAACTTTAATTCAACCTCATTATTCTCAATATAGTTAAATAATAACAATCAATCATTTTTACACATCATATAAACTTTAATTTATTCATCAACTCACATAATTTTAACTAATCATCGCATCATATCATCTCTCTCCTACTTTTACATCAAACTAATTTTAATTATTTTATTTTCTATATTATTTTAATATAAACTCCAAATCACACTAACAACTAACTACATCACTCAAATTATTCATTTAACAAACACACCCTCAATGTGTGAGCTTGTGGGTTTATCTCTTGGCAAGGTTCTTCAAAGGAAGGAAAGCTTTTTAACTATTGAGAGTGTTTGATTTGAATGAACCCTGCAAATAAGCTTTGAAATCAAAGCTCAGAACTCAACATAACATTAATATATAATATCTCTGTGTGTGTGCAGGCCTGTGAGCAGGAACAATTTTTTTTACTTTTACCAATTCAATTTGTTAAAGTTCCAACTCGTTTATTTACCCAACTAGTACAGAACCCGTGCGATGCACGGGATGCGCAATTTTAAGGCTATTTATTAATGCTTATAATTATATACATGAATAAAGAAAAATGTACAGGATATATATAGTACGTGACCCGTGCAAAGCACGAGATATATTTATTTGGAGAATATTATATTATAAGATGCAATATTCAATAAAAGTTTATAATACGCAAGAAAATTGTACAATGTTCAATAAAAGTTTTATAATTTTCAAGTGTAGTCTTAAAGTCTCTTGTACATTAATACTACTGACAAAATAATATTTAATCAATGAGTTTCCTTTCCTTGTAGCCAAATTGTGAATGTGATTTGAGGAGTACAACAAATCGATATATAGTTGAGACTTGCTTTTTTTATTGTGGTTTTCTTTTCTTTTTTTATAATGAATTTAAAGATATTTTAAAATATAGCAAAAATTAATTTTTTATTACAATTAGGAATTTTACTAAATATAAACTCTCAATCTATGGTGTTAATCAACGTTTAAGTCTAAAAATTAGGAATTTTTACCTCTTTAAATCAACGTTTAAGTCTAAAAAACAATAGAGTTATTATAAGTTTTTTTCTACATCTTTTAAAACATTAAATATGAGCATGTTAGGGCTAGCTTGTAAAATAATTAATATATTATCTCACTAAAATATTTATACTAATAAAAATTTAATTTTAGCATATAAATTTATCCCTTGATATAAGAGAAAGTAACAGTTTTACTTATTGTTGTTCACCATATAATATTTAATTATTAGTTTATTATATAATAAAAAAGAAATATTGTTAAATAGTGTAGTAGAATTGTTATAAAATTATATGATTTTTTTTTTACAATATAGATTTAATATTTTTTTATGATTTGATAATATAAAAAAATCTATACTTAACTTTGACAAATAAAACAAATAAATACTTTAGTAAGTATTTAATGTATATACTAAATAGAAATATATTTGGTATAATCAAATACCAAATATAATCAAACAAGTCAAAGTGTACATTTTTATTTGATATTTGATTTTTTTATTATTAATTTATTTTTTATTATACTTACCTTTTTAAAATAAAATAAATAAATAAATCAATTAAATAAATAAAATATTATAATATCAAAATAGTAATGACATTTAATGCAGTTGACTTTTCTGGATAGTAAATGTAGTAAATAGAATCTCCTTTTATATAAATATAGATTGTATAATACGGAAATAGTAATGCAATAAATGTTGTTGATTTTTTTTTATACTAAATCTGGTAAATGGTATACCTTTTAATATAAGTATAGATTCAGTTAGTTTGTAACTCTATGAAACAATTAAAAGAGTAGGTTACATATTAAAATGATAGTTCCATTAATAATTAGATTAGATTATCTTCTCTATGAATATACGCAGCTCGAGGAATCAAAATTTTTAGGCTTTTAATTAGTAGAGGCAGAACAGTTTATGACAAGGGGGTCTCCTAATTAATGCTTAACCATGTGCAAAAAAGGGGGTATGTCCAAAAATGGGCTTTTCTAATTAAATTAAGAAGGTTCAAAGTGGTTTCCGTTTAAAGCTTTGCATTGGAGTACAAAATATGGATTTTGATACTCTGCATATCCCGTTTGTTGCGTATGTCAGTCCTAACTTTTGGAGTCTTATTATTCTAAATTTTCTTGATTTGATAAATAACAGCCTTTTCAAAACTTTTGAGTGTGAATATTTTAGAGAAATTATATCTTGATCACGCTAATTTTATCCTGTCAGCCCCCTGTTTTGTCATTTTTTTTTTTAGAAAAGACAAGTCAAATTAAGTTGTATGCTTTGTTTTTATGAAAATAATTTTTTTTTTGAAACGAGACTTTATTAAACATAAACATATAATTATAATCAGCTAACTAACCATAAACAAGAGGTCTATATAAGGTAGTCTAAGTACCACAATATAACATGGTTCACAAAAAACTAAAAACACTTCCATGGGAGAATACACAAACTCCACACATAGAAAATACTGAAGACCGACAAAACACCAATACAATCAACCACAAACTCCATTAATGGAGAAAACGAAACACCAACAAACACCAAATCACACAAAAATGAGTTAAAATTTGAACTTCTTTTTAGCATTTCAATAACGCACTTCATGAAGGAAAATTGCTCTCAATTACGTACTCGATTTTACGACTAGTTAATTTTAGAGCATAACATATTTGAAGAAATAGTCGGAATAAATGATTAGCTATGGACATAAATGGGCTGCGGTATTTATTCATTTCAATTTTATATGAGACTATCCAAATACGGGAGTAACTCAATATTAAAATACAGAGCTTATAGAAAAATAAATACATAATTTTATGTTTATTCCACTATATTTGTCAATATCAATTTTGTTGTCACACATTAATTTAAAAAAATTATCAAATAAGGTACACTAATCATTAGTGGCAGGATATATGCTGAATTAGTTAATTTATCACGCGCTCGGTGCGGGATTATCACGAGCCCCTCATAGACTGAAAATATAGTTTGTGCATACAACTTTAGACGGGACAATTGACTGAGCAAACGAACTACCACTGGTCTGAAATTTTGGGTAAACGACCGTCTTGGCGAGAAGAATTCAACGGGAGATCACATACTTGATAAACTGACTTGAGACGATACTATAATTAGGCCTATAATGTAACAACTTAAATTATTGGGGACGAACAATTGAGTAGCAAACGGAATTTAATTGAGCTACAAATTTGTGGTTACAACAATATTAATGAGACAAATCCAACGGTGAGTCACCCCACTAAAACTTACTCTATAAAGCACCAAATTGCCCCAAGGTAGAGAATAGACAATTTGAGTTAAAATTATTTTGTATGACAAGTTGAGCAGGCAAACAAGCTCCAATGGTTATCAAATTTGGTGGGTCGACTGGTTCGACAAGAAGAATCCGAGGTAGGTCATCCACCTAAGTAAATGGTGTCGAAATTAAACCAGATATAAAATAACTCATTTTTTTAGATGAAAAAATGAGTGGGTCAACGAAATAATATTGAGGTAAAAGTTTATGGGTATGACTGTTTGTCCTATTTTTGTTGCATTTTTCGTGTTTATTTTATCTTTCTTTTTCTCCCATTTTAGGTCTTTTCTTTAGTTTTTAGTCCGTTTCGTATTTTATTATGTGTTTTCCTTCATTTTAAGTCTTTAGGTGTTTTTCGTTTGTTTTTTCGGTTTTCTTTTGTGTTTTGTCCTTTTTGGTGTGTAGGTCGGGAGCTTCGGGTAAATTTTCTCTTCAGGAAAAGTTGGTTTCGAGAGTATAACTGGATAGATGGGTTCGTTAGCTACGCGTAGGAAAAAACGGAACTCAATTCCGAGTTCGGACGAGCTCAAACGAGGCCAAAACGTAAGATGGTGCAGTGCAGCCCGGGTCGCGACCCGCGCCCACGCCCGCGACCCGCGACGTACCCCATGCCCAGCGCCCAGCGCGCGCGACTAGCGAAAAAAACAGAGACGCCCCGGCCCCGTGACCATGCTGACTCGCGACTCGCGAGTTAACTTGCGAGTCGTGACTGGGTCCTCCGTTTGTTGAGAACTATATATCAAAACGATCCTTAGACTCGTGGGAACAACTCCCAATATTGTTTTTTCACTTTCTCCTTCTCTAAAACTCAGATTTATATCGTTCTTTTTTATCAATTCTCTATTTACTTTTTCGGATTTAGCTTTGTCATTGGATTTCTATTAATTGTAAGTTTCTCTTTTCATCTAATCCATGAATATGATGACTTTGATTGTTGAGATTGTTGATTTTGAATTCCATATGAGTAGCTAATTCGTTTCGCTAGGGATAGTGGATGATGATGATGTTTAGATTTTAATTGTAATATTCATGCTTGTTGATCATTCAATTTATGCGAGTTATGCTTAACTAAGGTTTATAATTCTCGTGCATTGAATGTTAAATAATGTCGGAGAGTGACACTTCGATTTGCAAGTGATTTCCAGTTGAATATGATTCATTCTTGTTTGATGTGTTTAAATCCAACGAACTAGTAGATTAACAATCATCTAGGATAATTAATCAA